TCAGCGTATTTCAAAAGATGTGTGGGAGGTGAATATAGGAGTCTTAGGGGCGCTTCATAACAATCTGCGTCAGCAGCATTGTAGGAAATGGATGACATGGAACTTAAATATTGTGGGAGTATTTCATAAAACCTATCAACACGCCACAGCTACGCGTGAAGAAATCAACTTACTGATCCAGCGTTGGGAGGGTTTGGTTGCCAGAGGTCAGTCAATGTGGGAGGGTATTGTCAGAGCTAAACATATACAGGCCACGCCTTTGGATGAATTGGAAGAATTTGAGCAAGAGATGCTGCTTCGTGAAGATGAAATTGGTCAGCTGAATGGAAGGGTGGATCAACTGTTCATACTGGATGATGATGATGATGAGGAAGAGAATTGGGGTTTAAGCTGAGAAAATATGTATAAGTTGACCCTTATCTTTTGACTTTTGATGTGTAATGTCAAGTCCCACAATGTCCCACATGAGTGATATGATGTCCCACATGAGGGATCTCGTGTCCCACATGAGTGATATGACGTCTCACATGAGTGATCTCATGTCCCACATGAGGGATCTCATCTCCCACATGAGTGATATCATGTCCCACATGAGGAATCATGGGTCACACATGAGTGACCATAGGGCCCCCATGTGGGATGTTCCGTCCCACGTAGGAAATACAAAGTCCCACATCATTGACCTTGCTTCTCACATGAGTGATATGATGTCCCACATGAGTGATCTCATGTCCCACATGAGGGATCTCATGTCCCACATGAGGGATCTCATGTCCCACATGAGTGTTATCATGTCCCACATGAGGAATCATGGGTCCCACATGAGGAACCGTAGGTCCCCCATGTGGGATGTTCCGTCCCACGTAGGAAATACAAAGTCTCACATCATTGACCTTGCTTCCCACATGAGAAAGGAAGGTCCCACATGTAAGATTTACGCGCCAGGTGGGAATTAGGAAGTCCCACATGAGGGATCTTATGTGCCGCATGGCAAATACAAAGTCCCACATGGTTGATATTACGTGCCACATGGGAAATACAAAGTCCCACAGAAGGGATCTTGTGTCCCACAAGTGGGATATGAGGTCTCACATAAGTGACCTTGTGTCCCACATGTGTAATCTTATGTTCCACATGTGTGACCTGGTGTTCCTCATGAGTGAACTTGGGTCCCACATGAGGTATCTCAAATTCAAGGTCCACATGAGAACTCGGGAGTCTCACATGTGTGACTTTGAATCCCTGATTTGGGACGCCAATCCCACATGAGGGATCCAATTTACCACATATGGAATCTCACGTTCCACATGAGGGAGCTTATGTCCCACAAGTGGGACTCTGGTCCCACATGATAATCTCAAGTCACACAGGGATGGAGTTAGAGGTCTTTGATGGGTTATAAGACGTTTATATGTCCTTTATTCAGCTAAATCATTTTTTGTTTTGATTGTTTTCTTCGTGAATATGGTGTAGAAAGGCGTTAGAGCAGTGTTTTGGTGTTCCTGAGGGTGTTGAAGTTGAAAATTTTCTTCCGCCGCCGACGCGGCGGCCGCATTGGTGTGTCGAAAGGGAGGTCTTTGGCTTATTGCCGATGAGAATGAGACATGTTCCTTCGGCTAGAGTCCGAAGTGTCGGGTAGGCACAGGTGCTATTTTTGAACCATACACAAGACTGGGATCTTGAATATATTCAATCTTTATCAATATACATATACATTAAATTTGATATTATTTTCCGCACTATGTTTCTCCACATTTCCTTTCCCTACATCCTTTGTCCATGGGTATTATTTTTATATGTGATTGTGGATTATATACAGAAGTTGGATTTTCTGAAGTTCTTTGACCTTGAGGCGAATTGTGATGAATTTTAGGGCCCAAAGTAGGCACAAATAGACTGATATGCATGTAAATAATAATTTCCAAAAGTTTCTGCCATCAATTTATTCATATCCTTCCTAGGTTCAACAAATCAGGGAAAGATTGGACTGCTCATGTAGAATTCACAATTACATATAGAAATATGCCTTTTGGACAAAGGCTGCAAGAATAAAAAATGTAGGAACATGTATTGTACAGTGGAATATAAAATTCATTTTATATGTATATTGTCAAAGATTTAAGATATCCAAGATCCCAGTCTTGGGTATAGTACAAAAATGGTATCTTTCATCCGTTATTTTCTTTTCAAACCTCAATGACTCAGCCAACTTACATGATAAAGTTTATCGCTGTTGGTAACTTGTTATTAACCCAGTGGAATGGGAAAGTTGGATTGTTACATGTCATGTTGGGTCCTGAACTGACGGGTTGGGTTACTCAATCTTATCTCTCATTTGTAGGTATGATGTCATACCTGTTGACCACTCCTTTTTACCAACTTCCCATAGTGTTCACTTTCATCGAATTTCCTCTCTTCAATCTCAAGTACTCCATCTAATCGTTAAAACTCATTAGCAGTTATTAAATCAAACTTTTTTCATTGCAAAAACAAGGTACTATAAAGTATTCAATCTTCCTAAAAAACTGTTTCTCTAAAAAACCGTTCAAAATCACTTCGCTATAAAACCGTTTCATTAAAACCATTTCACTAAAAAAGTGTTTCACTATAAACCGTTTCATTTATAAAAAAAAATTCATCAATGAGTGATGACAATTACGATTACAAACAAGCTAAGATTGTAGCCAATAAGT